GCCGCCGATTGATACAGCTGTATGTTGAGGTGATGATGAGACAGCAGAGGGTTTAGACTGACGCCTACAGACTATCGTTTTCGACATGACCGACTTTTCCATGGCCAACATGGACTACACACCTGTCAAATTTATGATCAAATGTTTTGAAGCAAACTACCCCGAATCTCTTGGAACCGTTTTGGTCTACCGCGCACCCTGGGTATTCAACGCGGTCTGGGCTGTGCTCAAGGGATGGTTAGATCCTGTTGTTGCCGGCAAAGTACATTTTGTAAAGAATGTACAAGACTTCAGCACCTTTGTGCCCAAGTCGCAGATTCCGGCCGAGTTGGGTGGAGACGAAAAGTGGGAGTACAAATACCCAGAGCCCGTACCTGGTGAGAATGACAAGATGAAGGAGGAAGGACCGAAGCAAGAACTGCAAAAGGAGAGGCAGGACATTGTAGCCAAGTACGAGGCTACCATAGTTGAATGGGTTCGTGTAGGTGACGGCGCGTCGCTGGAAGAGAAGAGGAAAGAAAGAGATGTGCTAGCAGAGCAGCTGAGGCAGAACTACTGGAAGTTGGATCCGTATGTTCGAGCGCGTTCGCTGTATGACCGCCTAAAGGTGATTCAAGACGGAGGCAAACTCGACTTTTACAGCAAGGCTGCCGAGCCTGCTGCTAGCACACCTGCCAAAGCCGGCGGCGAGACGAGCGCCGACGACCTTGACTAGGACTTGAAGGCTCTGGTGCTTTGGGTGACCGTGGTACTTTGAACTCTCAACACCCAGGCCAACGGTTCGAAGCAGTAGAATAAACAAGGCGTTAATTTTCTCCACGCGCACGCAGCCTCTACCTAGATGTTCTCATTGCTGGTAATCTAGCTAATGAGGTGGCTCTTGTCTTTTATTTTGTTGTTACTTTCTTCTTCTTCTCTCTTTGTTTTGCTTTTGTTGCCCTCCTCGTTCCATCACGCATTGCAACAAAGACAAGGGCCAAAAAAGAACCGGAAATTAGACGGGCAAGGGAGGGGGGAAAAGACGGACAGAGAGACAGATACATACACAGGTATACACATGGACTCACATGTACAGCACTCTAGTTATGGTAATAATATTTCCCCTCTTTTTTTTTCTCTTTCTCTCTCCCTTGCCCTTCTTCTTCTTGATGTTGTTTGTTATACCCAAGTCTGGTTGTTTCGTTGGCGTTTTAACCTTTGCTGCCGTGACTCGGGATAGTTTGATACTTCGCGTCGGCCCCCCTTTTTTTTTCGTTCTCGCAAACCAACCTTGTTTTGAGATTGACCTGTCGCGTGGTCAATTTCCAATAAGGACAACAAGATACGCCCAACAACAACAACACAACCTTTGGCTAGAAGGTAGACAGAAACGCAAACAAGAACAACAAGACAGGAACACGAGCAGCATAAACAGCGGTGTGTTTGAAACTTGGCTCCATTTGCCCATATTGACCGGACAAGCACGTGTCTGTGTGTGCGCGACTTTTGTTGTATGCATGCATGTCGAGTACCCAAATAAAAAAAAAGAGCGTGGCTAGACCAAAGTGTATTGTGCTGTGTGAACAAGGCGGACTGGGATCGAAACCTACCGTCTCAATCGGACATTTTTACTCCTCACATGTGGCACCCTGGGGGCTTTTTCCCGATCTGCTCCGTGCGGCTAGTCAGCGGAACTACGTCATACCCATGCCCGTCTCTGCTTTTGCCATCCTTCTTGCTCGTTTTCTTCTTTTTGCTTCTTAGCCTTTTTGAACACTTTATCACCGCCCTCGGCGCGCCAGCCGCCCAACCTCCTAAATTTACTTTTACCCTTTCCTTTGCCCTTGCCTGATCTGCCCACCTCGTGTCTTGTTTTGCCCCTCGGGGGGTTTTTTTTTCCTTTGATTCGCGTATCGCTGGCCAGGAGGGGGGCATGTGGGCACATGGAAATATACTTGGATGCATGAGTGCGAGTTTACTTGATGGGGCCCGGAGACGCTAGAGCAAACTCGGTGATCTGAGTGGGTCGACGCTACACCAGAAACAAACGTCTCTCGACGCCGACTCGTCTTGGGTGCTCAATATCCTTTTTCAGCATTTTGCTTTGGGCTCTCCTATCTTGCCAACTAATAATACAGTTTGTTCTAATGGAAGAGGAAGGTGTCATGGTCGCAAACAAGAGTGGACAGGGGGAGGGGAAGGGGGGGGGGGCGCAAGGCATGTCAACGCTGGTAGTGTGCCATGGTGAAAGTGTCGTGCGGTTCCGTTTGAAGGATTTGTTTTCCAACGCAGAGAGCAGGGCTGTTGCAGCCTTGTCTCAATTGAGGTAGCAGGTGCACATTGTTTTGTGTACACGTTTCTTCTGATGTCCCAAACCACGTACTGCATTGGTCTTCGTCCATGGCAACGGTTTCTCTTCTACGAAACAACCTTAATATCCCGGCCGCCCCTTGTTCGGTGGCTTTCACGGCTATTGACCTCGTCCATTTGCACAGCCATATCACTTGCGTTGTCGAGTCCGCTCTGGACTGCTTCGGCGACATGCCCTCGAGGAGCGGCTTCGCCCATTCGCAACGTCGAGGCACCTGACTTGTCGGCGTCGGCGTCTGCTCCGGCTAGCGTGAGTCCCTGTGCGGGACGGTAGGTAATTTTGCCCTCGGCAGCGGCAGCGAGGCGTTGCTTTTGGCCAGCCTCTCCGGCCCGACCTAACACACCAGCGATAACTTGGATGCAGCGCAGACTATGGCAGTGTCAGCAGCCGGAACAATGGTTGGCCACAGCACTCTTACCTGTCGTCGTTGGCCGGGATTGGGTAGGTGACCCAAGTGGGGTCGGCGTTGGTGTCAATGACGCCAATGGTGGGAATGTTGTTCAGGGCGCACTCGTGGAGCAGGACGTAGTTTTCCAATGGGTTCAAGCACACGACAAGATCCGGGCGAAGAGCGGGCCGGTCGTAGAGCTGCTCGTCAAAGCCCTTGACCTCCTCATCCAGCTCGTTGACGACCTTTGTCCTGCACCTGCCAAGAATCTGCTGGCCGTTTGTGATGCTGCCAGGGATCCAGCGCTCGAACAAGTGATAGCCCTTGGCCAGCTCGGCGGCCCTGGCAACGGCCCTGTCCTGACCATCACGGGTTCCCACAAATAGTATCATGCCTCCGCGGCGGGCGACTTCCTGAACGACCTTTGCAGATCGACGCAGATGGGCGGCGGTAACTTCAAGCGAGATGATGTGGACGCCCTGCCTAATGCCGTGTATGTAGCGGGCGTTTGCGGGGTTCCAGAGCGACGTGACATGGCCTTGGTGGGCTTCGGAGGCGAGCAGCAGCTCGAGGGTAACGTCGGCAGGCGAGGGCGGGTGGTTGAGCAGCGTGTGCGGGCGGTAGTGCGGGGCAATGTCGGACCCCAGCTTTCCTAGCATTTTGGCTGGAGCATGTTGTGTTAGCAGGGCTGCGACGCGGGCGTGGTGGAGGTGGGATATGGCATACCCTGCTGCTTGTACAGGTGGTACTGCGCGGCCACATGGTCGCGGGATTGGGAGTCGGCGTCGATTGAGGGCAGCGGCTGGTGCAGGTGCGTGTTGAGCTGGGCCTCGAGCGATTGGACCTGCTCCAGGCTGTTGTCGGTCGAAGCCTGAATGGCGGCGATGTCGGTGGAGAAGAAGCGGCGCAGCGGGCGGGACTGGCGAGGGGCGAGTGCCCGGGAGCCTGGTGATTGAGGATGAGCAGGGAGCAGTGGGCAGTAGGCAGTGGGCAGAGGGGCGACAGGCGTGTATACATACCAGTGCGGGCGGCAATGCTCCTCACAATCATGTTGTGTGGGCGCACGTCGAGCAGTCGCAGGCGTGCCAAAATCTCGCAGCCGGGGGCGGCACGCCAAGCACCGTGCCGCGCTAGACCGTGTCGGGCAAGGCGGCTGCCTCAGCCTCAGCACCAGCCTCTCCACGCTGGCGGCATGGGGCATGGGCGACGGGCATGCGAGGCCGCCCAATTGCCTGTCGTGGGCCGCGTCGGAGCAGCTGCGAGGGCTCCTGGCACCACCATGGCTGCGAGGGCACCGCGAGGGGGGCGCCGGTTGAGCGTGCATCGGTCCCACTCGGAAGAACAAGCAGGGCAGGTCATGACAGCAACAGGCATGGCATTCCCAGAATCCCATGGCGGCCGCTGTGTGGTCCCTGCTGCTGCTGCTGATGGGCCTCTCTGGCTGCTGGCTGCTGGCTGCTGGCTACTGGCTGCTGGCTGCTGGCTACTGGCTGCTGGCTGCTGGCTGGCTGCACTAATGGCCGCATTGCTTTTGGTCCGTCTGGTGCTGCGACAGGCCCTGTGTGGGTGGTGCAGTGTAGTTAGTATACATGTCCATGTATGTATGTGCGTCTGTGTCTGCGTCTGTGTCCACACCCAGTCGTCTGCCTGTGTATGGATGGATGGATAGATGCGTGCGAGTGCGCATGCTACTGCTACGGCCGCACCGTCCGTGCTGAGGCCCCCCGAGCATTGCGCGCCAAAGCCACTGACATCTTTCCGTGCTCTTCTGCAACTATCCCGCACCCGGTCCTTCTTGGCCACTAGCGCATTCGACTCAGCCTGCACATCTCGCCCTGCACATCCAACCTCCACACCCCCCCCTCCTCCTACCCCCAGACCTGCCCGACCACATCCCGCGGCCTCTCTCCAAATGGCCTGCGACTAGCTGGCTCTCCGCCCCTCGCCCTCGCATGCCACTTGCCTCGCCCTGCTCGCTGCTGTCGCTGCTGCCTCCACCCCCGCCGCCTCGCCTGCTTCTGCTACTTCCGCTGCTTTCACCCTCCTCACCCTCGCCGCCGCCACCACCGCCACAACGCACCGCTGGCCCACAGAAGCGATAGCGCACAACACCGCCCACGGGCGCCTGCCGCCCTCTTGGATGCCCACAACCCGGTGCTCGACGCTGTCTCCCGCCTCCCCAGTCTCACGCCCACCCCACTGCCCGCCATGAACGGCTACCCATACCCTCCGCGGCCCTACGGCCAGGCCAACAGCGGGTCCATGATGATGGGGCTCGAGGCTGATGGCATGAACGGCTTCGACATGTCCGAGGGCCAGTCGCTCGACTCAATGGTCGCCCAGAACGACAAGGAAAACCGCAGACGGAGCATGCCGCCCTTCGCGCGAGGCCCGCAGCAGATGAACCTGGGAAGCCCAGAGACGCGCCGCCTGAGCATGATGAATTTTGGCGATCCCAATGGCGGAGACATGGAGGATTTTCGTTTCGACATGTCCTCAGCCACCATGGACAACCTCATGCACTCCAGCACGGCCTCGTTCCCGCGCTCCACGGCTGCCATGCAGAACGACCAGCTTCCCGCTACCGACCTCAGCATCACCAACCAGTACCAAGGCCAGGCATCGCCCTTTCCCCAAATGACCGCCCCGGGCTCGGCCTATGCCTCGCCCATGCACCAGAAAACCCCGCTCGACCTGGAAATGTCGTCGTATCAAAATGGCATCAACATGTCGCTCGACATGAACGACTCGCTCAACATGATGCCCTCGGATATGAACATGTTTCCTGGCAACCAGTTCAACTCTCCCCTACTTGGCTCTCCCCTCAACCAAGACTTTGTCGGTCCCATTCCCACTGCTCCACAGGACAACGCCAATCCCAACAACAACAGCAACGCCAACGCCAACACCAATAACAATAACAGCAGCAACAACACGCCTTCCACACAAGCCCAAGACCATTTCAAACGACCTTCAGTAAACAACACATCCGACCCAAAGTCGGGCAGATCTAGCTACCTCAGTCGAGCACTCAGCCAAGACCAGGCTAGCATGCGTTCCCATTCCAGGCCTCAGAGCGACCGCCACTCGTCCAACAGCGTCCCCACCCGCATGACACTGGCTTCCCTGCGCAACCAACAACCTGTAGCACAAGACCCTGCACAGGATTTGCCCAAAGACGTCATCAACAAGCAGTTGCGCGAATCCAACGTTCCCTGGCAGACACCCGCTGGCGGATTTCCCTCAACCATGCACCAGAACCCTCACATGAAGACGCAGTTCAAGAACGCATATTCGTCAACCGGATTTGACATGCTTGCCGTATTGGTACGTTCACTACTCGGCCATCGTACATGGCTTGTCAAAGCTAACTACAGGCTAGATGCGAGTCGCTACCAGACCTGACCCCCAGATTGATATCGGCTCCGTTGACCTTTCCTGTGCTTTTGTCGTGTGCGATGCAGAACTGGATGATATCCCCATTGTATATTGCTCGGAAAACTTTGAAAGACTTACCGGCTACACACGACACATGATTCTTGGGCGAAATTGCCGCTTTCTGCAAGCCCCTGATGGCAAGGTCGAATCTGGCATCAAGCGCAACTACGTCGACGATGACTCAGTTTACTACTTGAAGAATATGATTGAGAATCGTGCAGAGGCACAAATAAGTCTGATCAACTATCGAAGGGGTGGTCAGCCCTTTATGAATCTTTTGACCATGATTCCTATCGCTTGGGAGCCAGGTGGCAAGACCAAATTCTTCATTGGTTTTCAGGTCGATCTTGTGGAACAGCCAGGTGCAATGACGAATAAGAATTCGGGTAGGCTTTGCAATTTTTTTAATCTCGAATCCCCCCCCCAGATTTGTGCTAACAGTGGTGCAGACGGTTCTTACAGAGTCAATTACCAGCGCGGAATGTCTATACCGAGTTACGTTTTTAGCGACCACCTCAAACCACAGCAAGCCGAACAAGGCCAAACAATATCAAAAGATGAAGTGTCCAATGTCCTTGCCGCGTATAGTGGAGGTGGGGATTCGGAAATGACGAGACGTATCTGGGACAAGGTTCTCCTCGAAAACTGTGACGACGTAGTGCACGTGTTATCACTCAAGGGTCTCTTCTTGTATCTGTCGCCTGCCAGTAACCGGATATTAGAATACGACCCAAGCGAGCTTGTTGGAACAGCGTTATCCTCCGTTTGCCACCCGAGCGACATCGTCCCAGTAACTCGAGAATTGAAAGAGACGACAAGCGGCGCTTCAGTAAATGTCGTTTTCAGGATACGACGGAAGAAGAGTGGTTACATGTGGTTTGAAGGCCATGGTTCATTGCATACCGAGCAGGGCAAGGGCCGAAAATGCATCATCCTCGTCGGACGTGAGCGCCCGGTCTACACGCTGAGCAAGACCATTGTGCGTGAGTCTGGCGGTGTCGGCGACAACGAATTGTGGACCAAAATGTCGACGTCGGGTATGTTCCTATACGTTTCGTCAAATGTACGACAACTCCTAGACAAACAACCAGAAGATCTGGTTGGCACCAGCATTCAGTCTCTTATGCGCCAGGAGTCTAAGGTCAATTTTGGGCGGATACTCGAGTTTGCAAGAGGCGGCAGAAAGGGCGAAGTGAAGCATGAGATGATCAATAAGCGTGGTCAAGTACTTCAGGCTTTCACCACAATCTATCCTGGAGATGCTGTCGAAGGCCAAAAGCCCACATTTGTTGTCGGACAAACACGACTCCTCAAGTATTCACGCAACAGCACCGCTAGTCGCCCCTCCATGTATACAAACACCAAGCAAGAGCGAGATTCACACATGTTAGGGGGGGACTCACCTATGCCGGGATCTGTGACTGGAAATAATGGAAACTCTGGCAACACTGGAAACAATACCCCGTCGACAACTGCTACAAATCCTCTCTATGTGACGACCGAAGAGTCACCAGCCACATTTGCCGGCCACAATGGTCTACAGATCGGACACCAAGACCAAAGTCTTGCCTCAGACGACAACGTTTTTGACGAACTCAAGACGACAAGAAGTACCAGCTGGCAATATGAGCTACGCCAAATGGAAAAGCGGAACCGATATCTTGCAGAAGAGGTACAGACGCTGCTGGCAGCCAAGAAGAAACGAAAGAGAAGAAAGGGTGCTGGACAGATGCAAAAGGATTGTGCGAATTGCCATACGAGACAAACTCCTGAGTGGCGGAGAGGGCCTTCTGGGAATCGTGACCTGTGCAATTCGTGTGGATTGCGGTGGGCAAAGCAGGTAAGCCATGTGTCTTGTGCCACAGCTGTAGAGATGAACCCGTGCTAATGTCAGTGTTCTCATAGCAAGGACGAGTATCACCGAGAACATCCTCAGCCACAAGCGACAAGAGCAAGAAGAGCGCTTCACCGCGTCACCACCAAACAAAGTCCGAGGCCGGACAGCAAGCATTTAGTCCCTCCACATCAATGGCCACACCCAGTAAACGATCGCCGCAACATGGCAGTATTAGCGAATCTCATGCCCCAAAAGCGGCACGTACGGAAATAGCTTCTGCGCAGGGCTTTATTCCACCACCGGCGATCGACGAGGTAACTGAGCCGGATTCATGAAGACGGACGATTTTTTTCTCATTCCTGCGCCTCCTCTTGTGTTTCGTGTCATTTTCGTCTTTGGTCAAACGATACCCCAGTACACAGTTCTATTTTTCAAAGGCCTTTGCAATCCCGTGGCGATTGCATACGCGATACTCGAGACGCTTTAGACTCTCTTTTGTTCTTTACTTACCCACCTCTTGTTGTTCTTTATCATTTGCGTCATCTATTCTGCGCTACGGTTTGCGGTTTGAAAACTGGGATACATTTACTGATTATCTCTTGTATTTGAACATATGTGCTTGCTCAAGTCATCGACTCGGTACTGCGATGCAAAATTAGTCTTGTAGATATTGGATGGTTTTCTTTGACGCTGGAGGGGTGCCACGACACCAGTTGTTCCATTTTTATTTTCCTCATCTCCCTGCTTCCCTCGCGACCGGTAGGTATCGTGTACTTGTTAGAGGCGATGACAGAACATACGACGAATGGGCTTGGATATCAGTCGGAAGGAAATCACATGGGCGCGTACACGCATGACATCAGTCAATTTATAAATCAATTTATTACAGACATGCAATCTAGACTCTTGTGTGCATCTGTTAGGGCTGCAAGGGCAGGACATGATGTAAAGATGATGGTGACTCAGGGACCATCCCATCCACTAACCTCGACCCCTTTGTACCCCCCTGGCCCATTTTTCCCACCTGCATAAACACACGTGCAGGTCCCGTTTACCACTAGCACGGTAAATGAGGACCGATCCAGCCTACCCCGCATTCCCGGAATATGTATAGGTAAGAGGCATTTGTAGCTTGGCCTAGTTCTTAATCCGGACCACTATGAGTGTTTCAAGGTTTTGGGCGTATAGAGTATGGTCATGTGTGACATCTTTTTCTTACGGCTGACTTATAGAGGGCAAGCTATACAGCAATTTCTTGATAGACAGTGTCCTTGCTTCACGTAGAGTTCTGTCAAAACCAAGAACCTTGGCAAAGGAAAAACTTCCTTTGTGCCCAAAGTTTTGAACTCTATGGAAGTTCTGGATTACGATTGGAGAGGGATGGAGAAGCGGTCGAATTGCAACACTGGTGCAGTACGTTGCAACACGGCACTGCAATAGTTGGGCACGTATGATATGTAGACATTACTTTCTTATGACTGATACTTTTTGTTCTTCCCCTTTCATAATTTTTCTTTTGTCAGTAGATTATCATGCGATCTTGTGAGTTTAATTGTATTGCTTGCATTGGCTCGCTGGTCTCTCCGAGCGAGATCACCAAAACCACGCCACAATGTCACACGCAACAAACAAGGAAGCTGATACGGGCTCGCAGGGTTTACCGAACCCAGCCGGGTCTAGGTCTACTCTCTCCTTGATTTTCAGCCCATATGTGCCGTTGGCTCAAAAGTGAAGCGGACGGGTAACCAACCTGGAAAGGCTCGCTCGCGTGGTAATGCTGGGCTTAGCTAAGAGGAGCAAAAAAACAACAACAACATGTGCAAATGGTAGTGAGCATCACCGCGCGCCACGAGAGACAAGCAGACAAGTATGTACCAGGTATACATATAGAATGGATAATAGTCTGGCACAAAGTCTTGACAAGACTTGGCGGCGATATTTGGTTGGTGATGCCTGTTTGGCCCTACATGTCTTACGTTGGCCTAAGAAAGGCTGCTGCATACATTGAGATTTTCCCGAGAGATAGAGAAGGGACACTAAAAAGGAACTTGACGTAATCGGGACGGGAACTACGGGGCTTTACTTTTTTTGGTCGTGGCGATGTGGACACGGGATCTTGCCCATGGCGTTGCTCTTTGGAAATTTCCGGGACGTACGGATGCCAGGGTGTGGTGAGAAGAGGTGAAACGAACAAAATGGTGTAAGGAGGCCTGTTGGCTGAATGGTCAACTCTGGGGATCATTGCGTTCTTCTCAGGAAATGGGAATGCGCGAGAAGAGGAAAAGTGGGATATTGTACTGGTTCTCGTGTACGAGCAAACACTTTAATGGTCTTCATTTACATGCGTAGCGCACTTTGCAACATCCTGTCCTGGTAACCCACATGCAATGCAGGTAGAGTAGGTTCGGGTATGTCTCACCAGCACCTGACGATCATGGCCCATTGTGTATGTACGTGGTCTACCAGATTGGTGCAAAGATGTGCAGAATAAACTTTCAGCTTGCCATGAGGAGAGAACTTGGGGGGAGGGAAGGGACTTGGACATGGCAACGCCACTTAACAGCAACGTGCACTAGTTGTTTTCCCCGTCCCCCGGCGGCTCGTCAAGCCACCCAATCAAACTAGCCAGGATCCTACTCCGGCATGTCACCTCCCCTGGATTCCTCCAGGCCCGCTGCATGTCTCCATGCGGCCCGAGCAATTTGCTTTTGGGGGGTTAGGGAGGGACGGTGCTGTGAGGGTAGGATGCGCGCGAGAAAGCGTGTGTAGGTGTTTGTGGAGGCGTGAGAAAGAGACACCCAGACAGATGGAGACGGAGAAATGAAAGATAGAGCGTGCTGGTAACAAACAATCGCTTTTCCGCTCGGATTGGTCAGGGGAAAGTAAATGCATTACCTCACTGGATGCCAACTTTACATGTTGGTTCTTGGTCCTTGAAACCACGCAAGACGTGACTAGGGTCTTGCGACGGTTTCCGGCCAAGCCTCGTGTTTTTCTTCTCTTTCTGACATGGGCATGAAAGAGAAAGATACGATGGGTGCGTGTGTGCGCGGTTGGAAAGAGGGGATCTTCGTACCCAGCTCATTTCGTTGCGGTTAATGCCCGACCGGAATGATGCTTAGGGACTAGGTATTATTAGACGCTCTCTTCTCGCTCTCTTGCTTTCCCTCTCTTTATTCCACCTTTTTTTTCTCGACGTGTAGAGGGAACAAAGTTTGCGCACTGTCCGCCACCTTGGACTCCTTCCTATCCGTGTCTCACTCTCGCTCTTACTCTTGTCCTACCCTTTACCATACTGTACTAGCTGCATCCTGCTGGTGCGACGGTGACCTGCCACTTTTTCTTTCTTATTTTTTGGGGGTTCCCTGCACACTCTGACATTTGAACACGCTTGGTTTGCTTACTGTTGCGATAACAAGACTTGACCTTTGAAGAAACACTCATACCCTTTTCTTTTTTCTTCTTTTGTGATTACTGGCCTGCACGTGCCCATCCCGCGAATCATCCGCGATATACCTGGACACGATTATTGGACGGTAGTCTATTGAAGTTGCTTTTTGGTTTGCGCTGCGACAGGGAGGAAGAAGCAAGGGCGTCTTTTGGGGCGACGCGCAAGCAAGCCAGAACTCGGGGCTGACAGAGGCGAAACGCGATTGCGACAACCATCACACATTCTGCAACCCGCCAAAGAAAAGCGCAGAGTACTGGCATCGAAACCGCGCAAGAGCTGGACACCATGGACGAGAACAACAGGATAACGATTACCGTGTGCGGCGACGGAGGATGCGGTATGCGCAACGATCAAGGAGACGTCAAGGGATGCAGGCTGATGTGCGCGCAGGAAAGAGCTCAATCACATTACGGCTTGTGAGAAGTGAATGGACGTCCGAGTAAGTTTGCGCACACAATGCGACGCTACACGCGCGCTTCCAGTCGAGCAAGACAACATTCGGCTGACATGCAGTCTTTAGATATGACCCTACAATAGGTACAATACATATCGCTCGCGTCTGCGACAAGCATTCGTGCAGCTATTTTACAGCAACACTGGTCTGACATCCGCTACAGAAGACTCATACTCGGTGACCCGTACCATAGATGGCGTCCCCTACTACCTGATGCTCACCGACACGGCTGGTCAAGAAGAATATCGTGGTCTCTGGGCGGCATCCAACTTGCAATCCGATGCCTTTCTCCTCGTCTACGACATTACCGCCGCAAACTCGCTCGATGCACTGGATTACTTCATGGAGATGATTGATATGGAGACGGACAACCGGTTAGACAATGGAAAGATACCACCCATCAAATGTGTGGTGGGTAACAAGTGCGATTTGCAGGGTCAACGGGTGATTGAAGCAAAGAAGGGGTTGGAGTGGGCGCGTAATCGAAAATGCGGCTTCATGGAGACGAGTGCAAGAGAGATGGTCAATATCGAAGAGACATTCGCTCGTAAGCTTTTCCCTGCTCCATTTCTCCCAGAGCGAGAGGAAGAGAGAGGAAAAAGAATTAACCAGAGACCGATCCGCTAACGTGTACCCCTTCGACAGTCCTTGTCCGCCGTGTTGTAGAAGCTCGCAGACTCACTGCAAACGAGAACGCCGCAAACCGTACTGCCGCCCTACCCATGTCAAATGCAAATCTTTCCGGACCACATACCTACAGCGAAAAGCACGATTCCGACGAGCCAAGACAAACCTTCTGGAGTAAACTGAAATGCTGGTAGCTGCTTTCTCCAATTTCAACTACCGCGTATACAGCATGTTTGCATTTTCCATCGCGAAACCACCCCGCTTTAGAGGGGTAAGTGATGGTGTAAGATTACGGGCTTTTTGCCAGGGAAACACGGCACGCAAGTCCTCGTGCGCATGCTTCACCTGGAACTACATTCATGACGTTCGCTCAACGGCCATTTGTCTGGTTTTCCCTTTGTTTGTTCCTTCTGTCTTTTGTATCATAGCTGCGTTGGTGGTACTCGCCCCTTAAAGGACCATCATCTTTTTGCAGCACCGACAAGCTTTTGGTTGATATGCGCGTCCCTGTTCTGCCTGCATTTCGTCATGTTTGCTGCTATTGGTTTCTCTTATCGTTGGACCGGAGTCGCATTGACATACGCATTGCATGGATCTGTTGGTTAACGGGATGAAGGGGGTCCATGGGATATACTGATACCAGTTGGCAATCTGATTCATTTGTTCTGATCTGATGACTATCCATGCTCACTCGTGAAGCGAGATCATCATGGTAACTTAATGCCATGCGAAAGATGACCGGTTCGAGGCATCCGATGCAGCTAATCATCGGCTATCGAAGGACATTATTCGTGCGTCCGTGC